TAGTGGACTATTTTTTTGTTTGAATTCAACGCAAATAAATTCATATTATTTTTTTTTACAACACACCATTGTTTGGAGTCAACTGTGAAATATATTTATTAAACACACTATTACATATAGTCTTATTTGTTTGATTTATGCGACTAATTCCATATATGATAAAAACGACAGTCTTCTTTAATGAAAAATAAAAACAAAATTTGAGAACAGATTTCTTTCAGAAAATTCTGATTAATTTTCAAAAACAATCAAACTTATGATTTTTCACGGTTTTGATTGTATTGCTAATTGCTTTAATAAAAAAGGTACATTTTGATATATTATACAAAACCTTATAAACAAATATAATATTATGAAAAATTGAGCTGTCGTGGATAAAAACCTAGTGAATATAATAATTATTGGTAAAGAAGCCGATTCATCAATAACATTTTATTCATTTTCTTAGTGAAAGTGAAGCCTCCATTTCAAAAACCGACCTTGCAAATAGTGTATAAGAATGTACATTTTATTCAATTTTTTTTTTTGTTGTGAAAGTGAACTTGAAGTCTCCATTTCAAGTACCAACTTTGTAAATAGTGTATAAGAAGGCATGCCCAAAAAAATTAATTATTATTATTATTATCATTATTTTGCAGATATATTTTTGTTTAATTTCTTTTTGTTTCACAAAGATTGTTGTTTTGTATTTCTAGTAAAAAAATTTGAAAAAAAATCCAGTTTTAATCTTATTGTCTTAATGTTTTTAGTTAGAGAGATTAAATTTATTTAGCTGAAAATAAACTTTTAATACTTTTCTTCATAAAAGGTAAAATTTAACGTCTAGTGTGTAGTATTATTTTGTATGTATTCTCTTTTTTTTGTCAATTGTATGTATTCTTTTTATTATTACTCCCTCCGTTTCACAAAGAGTGTCGTTTTAAGGTTTTATTTTTGTTTTACAAAGAGTGTCGTTTTATATTTTCAATGCAGAATTTTAAACAATATTCCAGTTTTGACCCTATTGATTAATATATTAATTAGAGAAAAAAAGTTATTTAATGCATTAATAAAGGGCAAAGTATTAAGGAAAAAACTCTTATCTTATTGTTTTCATAAGCAGTGTATATATACATTACATAACTAATGTATCAGAAACCCTAATGGGCCATGAGACATTAACCTGATGGTTAATGGGCCGGTTACTAGAAGTCCATTTGTTTATAACACTCCCCCTTGGACAAGGTAACCATGTCTGTCACAAAACCGGGATCTCTATAATGCGTTGGGGAACGTTGCCTCATTAAAACCTTACCAGGAAAACCCAGTGGGAAAAACCATGGTGAAGGAAAAAGAGTACAACACGCATTACTCCCCCTGGTTTAGGCATCACTGTAGATCTCTAAGTCTACGCATTCCTATCTGATGAATGAGCTTCCAGAGTGTAGAAGTCGGTAATGATTTAGTGAATAGATCGGCTGAATTTTCGCTTGATCGGACTTGCTGAACCTTGACCTGACCATCCTTCTGTAGCTCATGAGTGAAGAAGAATTTGGGCAGAATATGCTTCGTCCGGTCACCTTTGATGTAGTCGTCCTTGAGTTGAGCGATACAAGCTGCATTGTCTTCATACATCACCGTAGGCTCCTTATCTTCGTCCATACCACAATCTGATCGGATATGCTGAGTCATGGACCGCAACCAAACACACTCTCTACTAGCTTCGTGAATGGCCAAGATTTCCGCATGGTTGGATGAGGTAGCGGCAATAGTCTGCTTCATGGATCTCCAAGATATGGCTGTTCCTCCATGCGTGAAAACATAACCGGTTTGAGACCGGGCACAGTGCGGATCTGACAAATATCCTGCATCAGCAAAACCAACTAGACCATCCTTGTTATGGTTAGAATAAAATAATCCCAAGTCCTTAGTACCTTGAAGGTATCTAAGGATGTGCTTAATACCGTTCCAGTGCCTTTGAGTTGGACACGAACTAAAGCGAGCTAAGAGGCTCACGGCAAAGCAGATGTCTGGTCTAGTGTGACTAGCCAAGTACATTAATGCTCCTATGGCACTGAGGTATGGCATTTCAGGACCGAGGATTTCTTCATCGTCCTTCTTTGGACCGAATGGATCACTATCCAATCCAAGGCTCCTCACAACCATTGGGCTGGTTAATGGGTGGGCCTGTTCCATATTGAATCTCTTGAGTACCTTTTCAGTGTATGCCAATTGATGCACAAGGATTCCGTCATTGACGTACTCAAGTTGTAATCCCAAACAGAATTTAGTTTTGCCTAGGTCTTTCATTTCAAACTCTGCTTTTAAGCATTCAACTGTTTGGGCGATTTCACCAGATGTTCCGAGGATGTTCAAGTCATCCACGTATACTGCTATGATTACAAATCCTTTGTTTTGATATTTTCTGATGAAGATGCATGGACTGATTGGATCGTTTTCGTAGCCTAATCTGATGAGATATTCGCTTAACCGGTTATACCACATACGTCTGCTTTGTTTCAATCCATATAAGGATTTGTTCAGCCTAATGCAGTGTTTATCACGAGATGCATGCTTATCTTTGAGCTCAATACCATCTGGTAATCTCATATAGATTTCACTGTCCAGTGGTCCATAAAGATATGCGGTTACAACATCCATTAACCGCAAATCTAAGTTTTCTCTTATGGCCAGACTTATGAGGAATCGAAATGTAGTTGCATCCACCACTGGAGAATAAGTCTCCTCATAATCGATTCCGGGTCTCTGTGAGAATCCTTGTGCTACAAGGCGTGCCTTGTATCTAACGACTTCGCCGAGTTCGTTTCTTTTACGCACAAAGACCCATTTGTTTCCCACTGGTTTAACATCGAATGGTGTCCTTAAGATCGGACCAAACACATTCCGTTTCTTTAAACTATTCAACTCCACGTTTATGGCTTCTTTCCATTTCAGCCAATCTGATCTACGAGTGCACTCAATTATAGACGTGGGTTCTAGTGCTACCTTGTATGCAAAAGTTTCATTGATGTCGACATCTTTTCTGTTCCATAGAGAACCGAATATGATATAATTGATTGAGATCTCATTATTATCAATCCCTTCAGAACCTTGAGTTTTGGCGTCCCAAACCTCTTGAGATGGTTCGATAGGGTAAGTATCAGCTGAGGCTGTATCCGTGTTCTCTTGAATCCCGGTTTCAATCATTGCACTTTTCTTTGATTTCCGGGGATTCTTATCTTTGGAACCTGGTGGTCTGCCACGTTTCTTACGTGCGTCAGACTCTGTAGCAACTTGACTTTTCCCTGAGGGGACATCTATTCGTACTGGTGCATTACAAGCTGGTATGTACGATTTGGTAACTTTGTTCGGGTCAGCAAAGGAATCTGGCAATTGATTAGCTAGCTTTTGTAAATGTATAATTCTTTGGACCTCTGAATCACATTCTAGAGTCTGAGGATCTTGCCATTGTGTGGATGTTTGATTCCATGAAAGTTCTTTTACCAGCTTGTCTGTCTCACCACCTAATCTAGGATATACCGATTCATCAAATCGGCAATCTGCATATCTGGCTTTAAACAGATCTCCTGTAGTTGGCTCGAGATATTTTATGATGGTGGGAGAATCAAAACCAACATATATTCCCATCCTCCTTTGAGGTCCCATTTTAGTCCTCTGTGGTGGTGCAATGGGTACATAGACTGAACACCCAAATGTTTTAATATGGGAGACGTCTGGCTCATGACCCGTTAGCAATTGGGATGGTGAATATTTATGCTCACTAGATGGTCGTATGCCTATTAGTTCAGCGGCATGTAAGACTGCGTGTCCCCAAGCTGAGACCGGGAGTTGTGACCTCATGAGTAATGGTCTAGCAACCCATTGAATTCGTTTAATGAAGGATTCAGCTAATCCATTTTGTGTATGGACATGTGGAACGGGATGTTCAACACTTACCCCCATGGACATACAATATTCATTAAACGCTTGGGAAGTGAATTCACCAGCATTATTAAGACGTATAGTCTTTAATGGGAAGTCTGGAAAATGGGCTCGTAATCTGATGATTTGGGCCAATAACCTAGCAAAAGCCTGGTTCCTAGAAGAGAGCAGACAGACATGCGACCAGCGGGTCGATGCATCAATGAGGACCATGAAATATTTGAATGTCCCACAAGGTGGGTGAATTGGTCCACATATGTCTCCTTGGATTCTTTCCAGAAAGTTCAAGGTCTCTTTAGACACTTTGACTGGTGAAGGTCGGGTAATCAGTTTCCCTTGTGAGCAAGCTGTGCACTTGAGGTGCTGAGGGAAAATATCATTTGGTTTAAGGCTGTGCCCTTTAGAATTCTGGACTAATTTACGCATCATGTTCGCACCGGGATGACCCAGGCGATCATGCCAAATAGTGTAATCTAAAAACCGTGCTTTGATAGCAGCATTAGCCTCAATCATACTGACTTTAGCATGGTAAATGCCAGTAGATACGGCGGGTATAGTTTCAAAAACTTGTTTATGGCCATTTATCATTTTAGTGATAATTAAAAACTCTTTGTTCCCTTCATCCTGAGTTTCGATATGGAAACCATTCAATCTTATGTCTTTGAAACTCAATAGGTTTCTCTTAAAACTGGGTGAGTATAAGGCATCAGAGATGTCTAGATATGTGCCATTTGATAACAGCACATTAGCTTGGCCATGGCCCTCTATTAGGCTCGAACTACCCGCTATAGTGCTAATGTTTGCGGTTTTGATTACTAAATTTATGAAGTAATTCTTGTCTTTTAGAATGGTGTGGCTCGATCCACTATCCACAATGATATCCATATTGTCTTGCATATCTTTATTAAACAAGAATTATAATTCAATAACATGCAAAAATGAGATGTAAATAAAACATTACTCCATAAATTAAAATGTAAAAGCAAAAGGTCTTAAAAATCCAAAGTAAAGACAATAAATCCCAAAAAAAAAAGATAAAAGTTTAAGGAGTAATGAAAAACAAATTCAGATTTTTGAGATCAATCAAGAAGGTCGGAGAGCTCATAATCCATGCCATCAATCTTATCATCCTTTGAGTCATCTTCATTGACTTGATGAACCAGGTTAGCCTCATGATTATCTTTCCCATACTTCTGGTAGAGCTCAGCAAGATATTTGGGAGTACGGCAGTTCTTGACCCAATGATTAGTCATTCCGCATCTTGAGCAAGGAGTTGGTCTAGATGAACTGCCTCTTTGGGTCGGTTTGTTGATACCACGACCCTTACCCCGACCAAAACTGAGGTTAGGTCGGTTATCTTGGTTCGGTCTACCGCGTCCTCTGCCGCGCAGTCCATGTCCATTTCCACGTCCACGTCCACGATCTGAGGATCTGTTACGTTGGACGAAGTTGGACTCTTTTCTGGTTCCTTCTGGCAATGGGGCTGATCCTGGAGGCCGCATGGCACTGTTCCTCAACAGAAGCTGATTGTTCTTCTCAGCAAGCAGTAAGCAAGATATCAAATCCTCATAGGTGCTATGATTCATGGCACGGTATTGTTGTTGGAGAACAACATTGGGAGTGCCAAAAGTAGAGAATGTTTTCTCTAGCATATCCTTATCAGTGACCTCCTCGCCACATAGTTTTATGAGTGCAACTATCCGAAAGAGTTCGGAATTGAATTCTTCGATGGATTTGAAATCTTCGAACCGTAGGTTCTTCCAGTCGAACTTGGCTTGGGGCAGTATGACCGTTTTCTGATGGTCATATCGCTTTTTCAGTGCCACCCAAAGTTCGAGTGGATCCTCAAGAGTGAGGTATTGTTGCTTGAGAGACTCAGCGAGGTGATGGCGCTTGCATAAACGGTTTAGGTGGATCGATTGGTTTAGAGTTTAAGGGGTCGATTGGTTTAGGATTTAGGAGCTTGCATGGACCGGTTTTAGGGTTTTCAAGGATCGGATCTAAGATAAATAACCGATCGGTTTAGGATTTAAACCGATCGATCTCGGTTTAACGATAGACAAACCAAAACAATTTTAGATCTAGGGTTTTGCAAAGATTTAGGTTTCGGTTGCAAGGAATTTTAGTGTTTGGTTTAGATGATGCTAGGACCGATCGGTATGGGGTTTGAACAAAGCATTAGGGTTTAGGTTTTATATGATAAAGCCGATTAGGAAAAATAAAACCAATTAGGGTTTTGACAAGAAGAAAGAGGATCGGTTTGGTTATGGTTTTAAAAACGAAAAAGACGATGAAGAATCATGAAAAGAACCGATCCATATTAGGGTTTTCAAAAAAAAAACCAAAACTTTGATTAAGATCTATAGTTTTAGATAATACCTTTTCGCCAAATGGATTTCTGACCGGCTTATGATCTGGGAGCTAAAGACCACAGATATCTACTGGAAACTCCTGAGAATGATGGCCAGAAGGGAGGACGAACAGCTGCTACAATGAAGGAACCACCGCTTGGAAAGAATCACCCGCTAAGGTGGGACAGCGCCGATTGTTTTGAGTCTTGAGGGCGCGTCTGGTGTCGGATTGAGGAGCGGTTTTCACCACTAGATTCTTCTCTTCCAGGGCTTCAAAATGATATGTAGATCGCCTTCTAACTCCTTGTATTTTGAGAGATATGATCGTTTGAAGTTGAGCTTCGTACTGATAACGTATTAAGGGAAAAATTCTTATCTTATTGTTTTCATAAGCAGTGTATATATACATTACATAACTAATGTATCAGAAACCCTAATGGGCCATGAGACATTAACCTGATGGTTAATGGGCCGGTTACTAGAAGTCCATTTGTTTATAACACAAAGTAATATTTTTAATAGTTTTCTTAATAAGTGTGAAAAATGTCAGAATGATACTCTTTGTGAAATGGAGGGAATATTTTTTAAAATACCCAATCAAATATCCCGATTTAAAGCATCAGACATTCTCATGTCACCAATGAAATAATTCCTCATTTTCTCGATTAATTTTATCAAATTAGTCAATCTCTGTTGCACCTACATAAAAAGTTGACTTTCTGTATAAAAAATTGTCTGGTAAATTGTTATACACACTTCTTCTCTCTTCTCCCTTCTAATTTTATTCGTGGATTAGAGATCACTCCATCTAAAAGACATTCATCTCTTATTCTTCTCTCTCCCTCTCTCTCGATTCGAATCGATTAAAATTGTTTGAATTCTCCGTTTGATTGCGTCTTCCATCTTCTTTTAGGGGATTTGAAGATAATCTGGACCGCCAATGGGAAAACCGACGGGGAAGAAGAAGAATACCGAGACACCGACGGATTCATCCGGCGGCGGCAGCGGAGGTAATAAAACGGGAAAAAGCTTCGATCGTTCTGCCTCAAAGGCGGCGGCGTTCGACGAGGATATGGAGATCTTCATCAATCGAGCAATAGAGCTCAAAGAAGAAGGAAACAAGCTGTTCCGGAAACGTGACAACGAAGGCGCGATGTTAAGGTACGATAAAGCCGTCAAGCTATTACCTAGGGAACACGGAGATGTAGCTTACCTGAGAACGAGCATGGCTTCTTGTTATATGCAAATGGGATTAGGAGAGTATCCGAACGCGATTAACGAATGCAATCTAGCTCTAGAAGCTTCTCCTAGGTACAGTAAAGCCTTGTTGAAACGTGCTCGGTGTTACGAGGCCTTGAACAAACTCGATTTCGCGTTTAGGGATTCGCGTGTTGTTTTGAATATGGAGCCTGAGAATGTGTCTGCTAATGAGATCTTCGAGAGGGTGAAGAAGGTTTTGGTTGGTAAAGGGATCGATGTGGTTGAAATGGAGAAGAGTTTCGCCAATGTTCAGCCTGTTGGTGCGGCACGGTTGCGGAAGATTGTTAAGGAGAGGTTGAGGAAGAAGAATAAAAAGAAGAAGACGATGATGAATGGTGAAAAAGATGTAGAGAGGAAGAGTAACGAAGGCGTTGTTGAGAATGCGAATGTTGAAAACGGAGATGAGGCAGATAGCAGCAAGAAAGTGATCAAGAAGCTAGAGGATAAAGTTGTGGTGGAGGAGAAGAAAGTGAGTCCTGTAATGGACAAAGAGGTCATTGCTTCAGAGATTGTTGAACGAGGAGACGCAACAGTGACAAGAACGGTGAAGTTGGTTCATGGAGATGATATACGGTGGGCACAATTGCCACTAGATTCTAGCGTTAAACTCGTAAGAGACGTTATCAAGGATCGTTTTCCTGCACTGAGAGGTTTCCTGATCAAATACAGAGACTCGGAGGGTGATTTGGTTACCATTACTACGACGGATGAGCTGAGGCTGGCTGCGTCCACGAGGGAAAAACTTGGCTCCCTTAGATTGTATATAAACGAAGTTAGCCCCAATCAAGAACCAACTTATGATGGCATGAACAATGACGAACCAGCCAAGGGATCGAGTAGTGTTGCTGATAATGGAAGTGTTGGAGACTGTGTGGAATCTGAGAAAGTATCTACTGGTCTTGACCACTGGATTTTCCAGTTTGCGCAATTGTTCAAAAACCATGTCGGGTTTGATTCTGATTCTTACTTGGACCTTCATAACCTTGGGATGAAACTGTATACAGAAGCAATGGAAGATACTGTCACTGGAGAAGATGCGCAAGAGCTTTTTGATATCGCTGGTGATAAGTTCCAAGAAATGGCTGCGCTTGCCTTGTTTAACTGGGGGAACGTTCATATGTCTAAGGCGAGAAGACAGATCTATTTTCCCGAAGATGGTTCAAGAGAGACTATACTAGAGAAGGTTGAAGCCGGGTTTGAATGGGCAAAGAACGAGTACAACAAAGCTGCAGAGAAATACGAAGACGCGGTTAAAGTTAAACCGGATTTCTACGAAGCTCTTCTTGCACTCGGGCAACAACAGTTTGAGCAGGCTAAGCTTTGCTGGTATCATGCACTCAGCGGAGAGATAGATCTAGAAAGCGATGCTTCACAGGATGTATTAAAGCTCTATAACAAAGCTGAGGAGAGCATGGAAAAGGGTATGCAGATTTGGGAAGAGATGGAAGAACGCCGTCTAAATGGGATCTCTAATTCTGATAAACATAAAGCATTGCTGCAGAAGTTGAGCTTGGATGGTGTGTTTAGTGAAGCGTCTGAGGAAGAAAACGCGGAGCAAGCAGCTAATATGAGTTCTCAGATTAATCTCTTGTGGGGTTCTTTACTGTATGAACGGTCTATTGTGGAGTATAAGCTTGGATTACCGACCTGGGATGAATGTTTGGAGGTTGCAGTGGAGAAATTTGAATTAGCTGGAGCTTCTGCTACAGATGTAGCTGTCATGGTAAAGAACCATTGCTCAAACGAGAATGCACTTGAAGGTAATTAAGTTTATCTACGAATACTAAAACTCTAGGTAGGGAAGAAATAACAATCGAACAAGAACTGTGCAGGTATGGGATTCAAGATCGATGAGATAGTACAGGCATGGAATGAGATGTATGATGCCAAACGATGGCAGATTGGTGTCCCATCTTTCAGGCTAGAGCCTTTATTCCGGAGACGGTCACCGAAACTGCATGATATTTTAGAGAATGTGTTTTCAGGGCCTCAATGACGAAACATTCATCGTATTTACAAACCGGAAATATAACAACTGGCTTCAGTTTTGATGTAAGGTAAATCTTTCAATTCCGCTTCAGTTAACCTTTAATATGGCTTCTTTTGAGTTTCCTGGTATTCTTTCTTGTTATAGACTGTGGAATTACTCGGGAAGTTATAAGATTCATAAACCGCAACATGTATGCCTTGATATGAGTGTTATAGTATAACAATATGATGAGGCTGTTAATATCTATCTCAGAAAGTCATAGATTAACCTCCAGAAAACCTCAATGCATAAATGTTACGGTTTATGAGTCTGATAATTCATGAGCAAATATGTTTCACCGCATTTGTCTTTGCTTAGAGTGATAGTTTTGATAAGGGTTTGTTTGAAAATTCAGAGATTTTCAGGGTTGGTAATTTAATGAAAACTAATCTCTTGATCTGTTTAAACAGTGTATTGCAGGGATTGTATTGCACGCAACGTTTCTTCTATTTTTTCGTTTGATTTATCAGCTTTTGGAAAGCAATATTTTTTGGTCTTGACGGGTATGGCCGTGAAGAAGATGGGCGTGATGATTCTTTTTGTGCAGATGGGTTCACAAGATTATTATTTTTAAATTTAATTTTGGTTGGTTTGTAAATTATATCATAGTTCTTTTTTCATTGATTGTATGGACTAGTTCTTATGAAAAATAGTGAATTGTTTTGGGTTTGTGGCACTCAAAACTGCTAGCATCTCACTGTTTGTAAACAACATGCTGTTTCCACTACAAGAAAGTTACAGTCTTGATTATATCTCGGTCTAGCACAGACCAAAATCGTTGATAGAAAAGACTTCTCTCCTTGTCTGGTACCAGAGTTTTATCTGGGTTATTATAACAAAAGCTTTCTTGATCTATGAAGATGATGCCGGTCGAGTCAAAGAGTTATTCATATTGCTTTTAACTTGCTCGGTAATATACCGGAGAAAAACCAAACTGTACTAAACTGAACTGTCTATGGTTTGATTTTTTATAAAACCGAGAAACAGCAAAACTAAAAATAGAAAACAAACCAACGCCAAACCGAAAAAAAACCCGAATCGCCCATACTTTTGGAAAAACAATTTTAGTGACTAGTCTCTCATAATGATTTATACTAGTATGTACATCATTGAGCCATCTACGAGTATTTGAAACATTTGGCAAGGTTTCATTGGTGTGTGTCACTAATAAAGGTCATTAGCTTACATCAAGGTTGTTTTCAGGTATTGATGTAGAGCTTAACTTTGGCTAAGTACTAAACCTTCTAGGTTCTGAAGCCCACTATTGGCCCACTTTCAATCTTTATATTTGATTGATTTACGACATTCACAGCCGCAAGAAATCACGAACGAACAAAAAACAACTCTTGTTGCAATTTGAAACATTGACGACGATGTCGATGTCCAATCTTCCAAGCGAATTGGTAGAGGACATTATCTCTAGGGTTCCCTTGAGATCTATGAGAACAGTGAGATTAACTTGCAAAAAGTGGAACACTATTGAAAAATCAGAGCTTTACAAAGATTCACATTGGTCGAGCAGCAGCAACAAGGGAAGGCGAGTCTCAGATGATCGTGGTGAAGAATTACAATCTTTACTTAGTGACCGTCATCGCCGACGGCATCTACGCTGGTCTATCTACAGAGTCTACGCTGATCTTACTTGCCTTGACGAACAAGTCAAGATATATAAATTCTTTCATTGCGAGGGTTTACTCTTTACTGTTATGCGTATTGACAGGCGACATTACTAGGCTTGTGGTTTGGTATCCGTATTCAGGGCAAACGAGTTGGATCGAACCAAGATCTTTTTGCTACCTACGAGGGATGCCCTCTTATGCTCTTGGTTATGTGAATAAGAAGAACAAATCTTGTCGTAGGCACAAAATCTTGAGGTACTACCCGGTAACCACTACTTTTGTGAAATTTACGATTTTGACTCTAATTTATGGAAGACTCTTGATGTCACTTCACAAAGATGGAGATTACCGTGTTATGACCGTGGCCGTGGTCTCAAAGGAAACACTTACTGGTGTACTCAGAACTTTAGAATTGAACATATAATCTATTTTCACTTTACAAGCGAGAGATTTGGGCCGCTTCTGCCTCTTCCGTTGCTTCGGAATATGACGTTGTGTCTCTATCTTGTGTTAGAGAAGAGAAGCTTGTGGTTTTGTCCAAGCTGATTATCAGGTAAGATCGTTGGTCTATAATCCTTTAACGTGGAACAATTCTTGGATTTACTGGGTGAATCTCATTATTCATCTCCTTGTTTTTCAACCAATAATATAATGGTAATTAAGATTAAACTTAAACAGAAATCCAAATTTTAAAAAATAAGAAATTAAACAACTTCCTGTTACAGCTTCACTTCTCCGACGTAAAGTGAGAAAACCCCAATTCTTCTTCTACAAGGGTTAAATTGCAGACTTTTATTGAGGCAAATCTCGTTCTCACTGAGCATGTAAGGACAATTATTTTCTGAGACAACTATAATTCCCAAGAAAATTATTTTTATTCTTCATTTTAATATCATCTACATCTACCTCTATACTTTTTAACCACCTGCGCTTATATCTCCCGAAGTTGATTTCATTAACATACATACTCTTCTTCCTCAAGCCACTTGGTAAGAATAGCTTTGACTATTTTCATGTACTCAAAACTTTTAAAAATCACAATTATGTGAGATGACAAAACTCCATTCATATTGCTTATCAAAAATTCTAGAAATCCTTAATTAACACTATGGGCCTATTGCTTATTAGTATATAAATGTGATATAAGTATCACATAGATATATTTTTCATATATGGCTTTTGTATTCTTTACGTGTGCATCTACTTGATTAAAAGGGAATTTTTCCTTAGCAAGTCTTCACCCTGCATTAACATGGAAACTACATCCATGAAGCACAACAAGTTATAAAAAACCTTTTAAGTATTTTCAAAATATTGTTCATACTTTCACTACGTTGTGTGTTCACCATATCTGTTGTAAAATTATGACGTCCATATACCATTGCCCAATTTTCTCTCAGCTCAAATAAATTCTTCAACCATTTATCCTCTGTCAATTTATGCTTCTTTAGCATATCACTCCATGCTAGTAAGCAATCTTCTTCTTCCTCATGGTCATATATACACTTACTAAAGTCCATGGCAAACTGTTATACTCCATGAAATACATGACTCAACTTTTTTGCAGCATTTGGGTATATATGCCAAACACATTACCTATGTTTTGTTTCAGGGAATACCTTCAATATTGCATTTGCCATTGCTGCAGATTGGTCTGTAAGAATTTTTTTTGGTTGCTTTCCAGACATTGCTCTAAGAAAAGTCTCGAAAAGCCACTTATATGATTCAGTGGTTTCATCATATAAGAGAGCAGCACCAAAGACAACAGTTTACTTGTGATGATTAACCCCAAAAAAAATGAGTTCATACACCTGAAAACAAAGACAGCACTTGAAAGGTAATCAGTAAAACAAAAGAAAATGACTTGATCTCGAACTGGAGTCACGGACGTATCAATACGCCACTGTCGTGATCATAGACAACTGATAGTAGGAATTTTTCAATCCTTGATCAATTCCTCAACTACTCATGTCATTGTAGCACTTGAGGTATCAATCCAAATGGAGAGATTCTAGACACTAGAACTATGAGGATCAATTCTTAATCCAAGTCTAATAAGCAGATGAGTTGGTAACCAAAATTATCTAAAAGCATATAACAAAACAAGCAAGAACAAACAGTAATTAAGAATTAAACAAGCAAGAGAAACTAAACAAACACTCAAATTCAAATAAAAAGAAAGCTAAACCTCTAGATGTGATCATTGATTAGGGTGCTTTAAATGTGAATTCATGATGCTAAGCAAACAATGCAACACTTGCAAATCTTTAGTCTAGACTTCCAATTCAGATTAATTCATTCTCATGACAGAAATCCCTTTGTTAATTACCAATTCAAGACTAATTCCCATTAGTGAATAAGCAATTAACAAGCATAAGGTTCCAAGTCTAACATGACCAGACAGCCTCTTTGTGCATCAAAATAAGAGCTAAGAAAGACTGAATCTTATACAGAAAGATAAAGCAAGCATCACATGATCTCAAATTCCAATTAACTTAGAACTCTAATCTAGATTAATCCTCTCATGAAGGCACTAACCTCTACACTAATCCATTTTCAAACCAAATCATCATTTGTGAAATATGAATCAATGAGCATTAAGAAACAGTTCTAATATGCCATTCATGCATTTAACAATCATTCCCATGACATTAATGCATAAACCCTTAGTTAGCTTTCATTCAGGCATTTCATCAAACACTTTTGGTGCATGAAAAACCCAGATTCTAGACCCAAGTGATGTGCAAGGATCTAGCATTAGGATCAGCTAACTAAGGAAAGGAGAAGAGAATCTAAGCTTAAACAATCATTAATCTACATCTAAGCACCCTAATCTACACACCTAGAAGCTTAAAAGATGACTACTCACTAATCATGAAGAACACATCTAATCTTTTGCAAGAGATGATGTTAATCATGATTAGAAGCAGAAATGAGATGATGAGATGATGAGAAACAGACTTAGATTGATTAAATCCTTGAGATCTCTCTTAATCAAAAACGTTTTTACACTAAAAAGGAAAGAAAACTAGAGAGAAACTAAGAGAGAAGATGATATCCTTGGGTTTTTCTCCCAAAAAACTATATATACCTAGTGCTAATGGACCGGGTCAGCCCAGGACAAACTGGGTACTGACCCGGCTCAGTTGGGTCAAGTGGAAATCCTGCGGGTCAGTCCAGTATGTCCCAGGTCGCACACCTAAGTCGCAGTAGATGAAGACTTGTCTTGTGAAGCCTGAATCGCCTTGTCTTAGCCGCACGCCTAAGTAGGAGTGTTTTGCGAGTGTTGCTGCGGCTTGGTCTCCTTCCTCTCCAACTCGCAGGGCTAAGGCGGTTTCTGGGGAATGTACAAACTGTGCGGGTTGGTCTCTATTGCACCTAGGTCGCAGGCTCAAGTCGGAGTGATTTGCGAGTGTTGCTGCGGCTTGGTCTCCTTCCTCTCCAACTCGCAGCATCCAGAGCAGCTTAGACCACTTCGCATTCCGGAGAGTGTAACTCCTATGAGACTTGTCCGAATTGAATGATTTCGGTTGCAGAAGACAGAGGACTCATTTATCTCCAACTTTTGTGAAGGAAGCTTCGGTGCTTGGGAAGTGTAAGACTTCCTGGAGGGCACATCTTTGCAGTGCATGTACACGACCAGAGAGAGGCGTCTAGACATGTGTCCATTCCGGAGACCGTATCTTTCTGCTCATAGATCCGAATTGAATGCTCTTGGACGTTCTGGAAAGAAGACTCAAATGTCTCTGGTTCTCATGAAGGACCCGGAAACTAAATCGGCCTGGAAGTGCACCGTCCTTCGCATCCTTTAGAACTGATCTGCTCGGTCCGGAATACCTGCGAGACTGGGGTTCCTTCCGACAAGCTTATCTCTCTGCTCACGCGTCCGAATTCCACGATTCTACTTGCTAAGAGACCGTGATGCAATGCTCTCCAACTTCTATGAAGCACCCGCCGTCTGAATCGGACCGGAAGGCTCCCCGGACAGGCGATCATTCAGGGGTATCGGATTGCTCCGGAATGAGTGCGAGACCTGTTCGTCTTCCGATTACCATATCTTTCAGTTCTGTGGT